AGAGAGAGAGAGAGAGAGAGAGAGAGAGAGAGAGAGAGAGAGAGAGAATTTTTAATATTTATTTCTTAGTTTTCAGCGGACATAACATCTTTCTTTGTATGTGGTGCTGAGGATCGAACCCAGGCCGCACGCATGCTAGGTGAGCGCGCTACCGCTTGAGCCACATCCCCAGCCCCATGTTTTATTTTGAAACAGGGTCTTGCTAAATTTCCCAGTCTGGTCTCAAACCTGCAATCCTCCTGCCTCAGCCATCTGAGTTGCTGGGATTACAAGTACACACCACCATGTCTGGCATTATCTGATGGCCATTTGTATATCTTCTTTTGGAGAAATGTCTGTTCAGGTCTTTTGCTCATTTTAAAATCAGGATATTTGTTTTTGGTTTTTTGAGATTTTTAAAAATTTTATATATATATATATATATATATATATTATATTATATTATATTAGTTGTCTTATTCATTTATTTATATGTGGTGCTGAGAATTGGACTCAGTGCCTTACTCATGCTAAGCAAGCACTCAGCCACTGAGCCACAACCCCAGCCCTTGAGATTCTTATATATTTTGGATATTAACACTTCATCAGATGTGTTGTTTGTAAATAGTTTTTCCCAACCTGTATGTTGTCTCTGCATTGTTTCTTTTGCCTAATAATACTTTGATTTCCAAATATTGTAAATCTAACTTTGTAGAGCACCAGATATTGGCATAATCTTTAGGACTTGTTAGGCAGGCCCAGAGCAGTGTTCAGTCTGGGGTTAATTATTCCCTCCCCAGTGCTGTGTGAATTCTGAACGTTAGCAGCCTGGCTGGTGGGAAAATGCCCTGGCCCTGGCCTTGTGTGAGTCCTGGGCACTGTTCCCTCTAATCCTTTCAGATGGTTCTTTCCCTGGCCTTGGGTAGTTTCCTCACACACATGTGATGATTAATTCTCTGCTGAGTACTTGAGGGAACCCTCTGAAGGTCTCTGGGTCTCTCTGCAACTCTCTCTTCCCCACTATTCATCTCCAGCTCCAGCTGCTGTGGTCTCCTCGGACCCTCAGCTCCATTTCCTCAGCTCAGAAAGTCCTCTGGGCTCCACCTCACTTCTCCCTCCTTGCTCTGCCACTGGGAACTCTTTTGAGAGAGTAAGCTGGCCAATCTTAGAAGGGCAAACCTTGCATGTTTCCTTTCTCTCTGGGATTTCATTGCCTTCGTTATTGTTTGTCATTGTCTGATGCACAGTTTGGAACACTGTTGTCTTCCTGTATTTTGTCTGTCTTTGTTATGTCTTTGTAATGGTGATGGCGGTTGTTTCCCGTGGGGGCCCTGTTCCTCCATCTTGCCAGAAGTGGGAGTCCTCCAGCAGTGGTTGAAAAGCTCCTCAGGTGATTCCAACATGCAGCCAAGGTGAGAGCCACCTTTTTCTCCATCAAATAGAGTCTTTGATTATTTCTTTTGCTCCATTTCCCCTGTACTCTCTTTCTGGAAATTATGTTATGCATTGAATGAATTGATCTTCCATCGCTTAACTCTTTTTTCCCATTTCTTTATCATTTTGCTCTACATCCCTAGAGGTGTCTAAAAATATTTCCTCCTGGGTTCAATCCCACCGGTGTGCATGCATGCATGCATGTGCATATGTATGCATGCGCACACATACACACACACACACAGACTCACTTCTGGAAACTTCCAGGGTAGCTTATTCAATTTTGTTTAGAAGAAACCTCTATCTGGTGGTCCATGGGCCCCATGTACCTTTTATGGACAGAGATTTACATATATATTCAAGAAATTGTCAACAATTTGGTCACTTTTAACTAAAAATCCAGGTTTATAGCTTTTCCTAGAAGTTCAGAGAATAGAAACAGACGGACTGAGCAAAGCTACCCCTAGAGTCAGGCAGGTGGTCTCTTTTTACCTACAACCTCCCATCCACTTCCCTCACCTGTGCCATGTGCTTGGCCACTTTATATACGTATTCATGATCCTTGGGTTTTTTTTTTTTTTGTCCAGGGAAGAAATATTGACTCTATACACAGGGATGGCCATGGAGTGGTTACGAGATTGTCCTTTAATTAATCATCTCATTTTCTCTCCCACTTCCCACTCCTCTCTGCAAATCCAGTTCCTTCTATTTGGAGCCTCTCACCTCCCTTAGCCTTCTCCTGGGTAGGTTCTATTTGGTTTTGTTTTGTTTGTTGTTGTTGTTGTTCTGTTTTTTGGCAATGCTAGGGATGAACCCAGGCCTGATACGTGCTAGGCAAGAACTCTACTAGCATTGAGCCACATCCCAAGCCCCTCCTGGGTAGGTTCTATGCAAAGGTTCTACTGCTCTAGTTTCTTTCTCAGTATGATACCATTTATTTTCTGTCTTCTAGAAATTCATGTTAATGTATGAGCTGCTCATGTCCCCTCCACTCTTAGCACTGTTTTAAATTTATATTAATACATTTGTTTTTGTTTTTATTTCTCTGCAGTATTGAGGTGTTCTTTACCATTTAGGTACATCCCCAGCCCCTTTTATTTTATTTTGACACAGTATCTTGCTAAATTGGTGAGGTTGCTCTTGAACTCGAAATCCTTTTGTCTCAGCCTCCTGAGTCACTGGGGTTATAGGCAAATGTCACCATGCCCAGTTATTTTAATATTTGCTTGAGATTTGGACTTCTAGAATTAATATAAAACTCTACAACATGAATGTAAGTTTTCCTATAAAGTATATCTTACTATTTTATGCTTTTGAATTTTCTCTCATTATCTACCACAGAATGTTCTTTTCCCAAATTAAAACTAGAAACTTTGTAGGGAACAGTCTGAGACAAGTGTTTAATAAAGTATTAGCATTGTTTCCAGAGAAATCCAATAACTGGAGGAGGAAAAAAAGGAAGTTACTCCTAAATCATTTGCTAATATCAATTTTTTAAAGAAGTATTTTGCTTTACTTTAAATGTCCACGTTTTTATTTTACTTTATTTATGTATTTATTTATTTTGAGATGGGGGTCTCACTGTGTTTCTAAGGCTGGTTCAAACTTCTGAGCTCAAGGGATCCTTCTGTCTCAGTATCTCAAGTGCTTGGATTATAGGTGTGTGCTACTGAACCCAGCTTCACATTTTTTTGTTTGTTTGTTTGGTTGGTTTGGTTCTGGGGATTGAACCCAGGGCACCTAACCACTGAGTCACATCCCCAGCCATTTGTATTTTTCATTTTGAGATAGAGTCTCATTAAATTGCTTAGGTCCTCACTAAGTTGCTGAGGCTGGCCTCAAATTTGAAATCGTCCTGCCTCCTGAGTTGTTGGAATTACAGGCATGCACCACCATGCCCAGAATGCATTTATTTTTATTTTTATTTTCTGGGGATACCGGGGATTTAACTCAGGAGCACTTGACCACTGAGCCACATTCCCAATCCTATCTTGTATTTTATTTAGAGACAGGGTCTCATTGAGTTGCTTAGCGCCTTGCTTTTTGCTGAGGCTGGCTTTGAACTCATGATCCTCCTGTCTCAGCCTCCAGAGCTGCTGGGATTTCGGGCGTGTGCCACTGCACCCATATCATATGTTTTTAGTTTTTATTTTATTTCCTTTTTTTGATACTGGGGATTGAACTCAGGGGCATTTCACCACTGAGCCACATCCCCAGCCCTATTTTGTGTTTTATTTAGAGACAGGGTCTCATTGAGTTCCTAAGCACCTTGCCGTTGCTGAGGCTGGCTTTGAACTCGGGATCCTCCTGTCTCAGCCTCCCAAGACCCTGGGATTACAGGCTTGTGCCACATGCCCGGCATGTTTATTTTTATTGATAGAATATTTTAATTGTTTATTATATTATCAAAGTTTATTTTAGATTTTTCCATTCCAAGGTTGATTTATATAGCAAATGATTAGTTTTATTGAAAGAATTGGTATTTTTTTTTTATTAATAAAGTGATGTGCTTTGTGATATATGGCAAAATGAACCCTCTATCATCTATCATCAATCTATATCTCCTTATGGCAGATACCCTTCATGGTTCATTACCTACCCTATGTTCATCATTTCCACCTCCTACTCTTCTTTCTTGCTAACACAGTGCTAATTTTGTTTGGGGTGAGCTCAGCCCTAAGGGGTAAATCACTGTTGGCCTGGGTTCCCTGTGACAAACCCATTTTTTAATGACAGCTATGTGGTTTCCCAAACTCCCTTGTAAATGTTAATGCCCATGTGACATGGTTATGACCAATGGTAAAGGGTCTGCTGAGAGGTTTCTAGAAGGTCATTTAGGATTGGAAGGGTGGCTCAGCAATGCTTTGAAGCCCCAACACTCTTTCCAACCCGTTAGTCCCCCAATGCTAATGTATCGGCTCCCTATCCCTTAAGACTGGATTTAAATCACCAGTGCCCTGCTACTTTAAGCCTAGAATGTTCCTGATGATATAAGAGCCACATTAGACTTTAGAAATAGTGTCTGTTTTCTAATAGTGCTGCCTCTGAAGAAGGCCTCCCTAGAAAATGGTGGTTTGATTAAGACTTAAAGGTAGGAAATAACCAGGACAAAGTGGAGGGAGGGAGATGACTGTTGTAAGAGGGGAACAGGATATGCAAAGGGGACTAGAAGGAAAGAAAAAAGTTTAGTATGACAGGAGTTTAGAGAAGGCCAAGCCTGAGCAAGGCAGGCAAGGATGAGCAGAGGAGGCAGAGAGCTTGTATGAGTTTCCTTTTGCTGTGATAACAAATACTACCAACTTAGTGGCTTAAACCGGCACCTGCTATCTCACACATTGTGTGAGAAACTCACATACATCAGGCATCAGCTCTTTGTCTGCTCTGGGTTTCACAAGGTACAAATCAAGAGACAAGACCCTATCTCAAAATTAAAAAAAAAAAAACAACGAAAAAATTAAAAGGGCTAAGGATGTTGCTCAGTGGTAGAGTGCCCCGGGGTTTAATCCCTAGGACCTCAAATGAAACAAAAGATGGTGATTGGTTCCGTGAGACCTCAACCTCACAGTTGATGGGACGTCACTGCTGAGTTTGAAACAGAAAAGTGCTTAGTTTAGTCTTTCATTCTCAAGATTCCTATAATGGAGTTAAATATGCTAGAGTTAGTATAAGGGGAAAACCCATATTATATCTCCCTGGTGCACTGGGAGTCCTAGTAGAAACTCCTGGAGCTTTAGGACTTTCTAATCAGACACCTTGTATCTGAGCAGTTGATAAGTCTTTTCATGTTTGGCTGCTTTGTCGTTAAAAGAAAACTGTTCATGAAATTATGGGAGTCAGAAACCCTTTTTAGCAATTGGGATGGTAGTGATGGGGATCAAACTGAAGACCTCATACATGCTAAATGAAGGCTCTACCACTGAGCTACATCCTCAGCCCTTATTTACTTACTACTTACTGGTACTGAGTATTGAACCCAGAGGTGATTTACTACTGAGCTACAATCTCAGCCCTTTTTTTTTTTTTTTTTTCGATACCAGGGATTGAACTCAGGGGCACTCAACCACTGAACCACATCCCCAACCCTATTTTGTATTTTATTTAGAGACAGAGTCTCATTGAGTTGCTAGGCACCTCGCTGTTACTGAGGCTGGCTTTGAACTCCCCATCTTCCTGCCTCAGCCTCCCAAGCACTGGGATTACAGGCATGCGCCACTGTGCCTGGCTAAATCCCCTTTTAATAATCATACTTCCTGTTGATTCTGTTTTTATAGGAAACCCTGACTAATATAGAAATCATACTGTGTTGCTTTACAATCATCAGTTTAGGAAGACAGCATGTACAACCTGGAGGTACAGACTTGGAGATCAGCAGGGTCTGAGACAGCAATTGAAGTCACGGGTGAGATTGCCACCCAGCAAGGAGAGCCAGGGAGTGTGACCACTGAGAGAAAGAAGGGATGTCAGGCTTCTGTGGAGTCATAGGAGCTGAGGGAAAAGAAAGTTCCAAGGAATCACCATGTCTAATGCTGCCTGCAAGAGGCTTACAAGTGTCCTTTGATTAAAATATACAGGCATGATTTTGGCAAAAGCAGTTTCTGTAGAGTTCTGGAAAAGCCGGCAAGAAAATTGAGACTGTTAGGTTAGATAATTCTTTCCAGAATTGGCTATGAAGGAGATGAGAATTCATGCTATATGTGAAAGAGAGAATTCATTGTTGGTTGGCTGTGTGTGTGTGTGTGTGCATGTGTGTGTGTGTGCGTGTGTGTGTGTTTAAGTACCAGTGATTGAACACAGGGGTGCTTAACTACCGATCCACATCCCCAGCCCTTTTTGTATCTTTTCTTTTTTATTTATTTATTAATATTTATTTTTTAGGTGTAGATGGACACAACACAATGCCTTTATTTTTATGTGTTGCTGAGAATTGAACCCGGGTCCTGCCCATGCTAGGCGAGTGCTCTACCGCTGAGCCACAATCCCTGCCCTTTTCTTTTTTATTTTGAGACAGGGCCTCACTAAGTTGCTGAGGATGGCTTTGGCCTTGCCATCCTCCTGCTTCAGCCCTCTGAGCCGCTGAGATTACAGGCATGCATCACTGTAGTACCCGAATCATGGTTGGCTGTGTTTTAAGGTGCAAGAGATATCTGTTGGCTTGCTTTTTGAGACAGGGTACTTACTCTGTTGTTCAGGTTGGCCTCCAGCTCCTGGGCTCAAGTGATCCTCCTGCTTCAGCCTCCTGAGTAGCTGGGACTATAGGCATGTACCACCACGCCCAGCACCTGGTGAAAGAGATTTGAAATTCATTTATATGAGGAAATTGGTTTTGTGTGAGTGTGTGTGGGTTTATAATATTATAAATAGATTAACTTGCCAAGCATGTCTTCACCATGAAACATCCAGAAGCACTTTATAAAATTAAGCAAACATCCTTTAAGATGAACAGCTGAGCTAGGTGTGTTGTGCATGCCTTTAATCTGAACTTCTTGGGAGGCTGAGGCAGAAGGATCACAAGATCAAACCCCATCTGGGCAACTTAGGGAGACCCTGTCTCAGAAATAAAAAGGACTGGGGGGTGTACCTAAGTGGTAGAATGCCCCTGGACTCAATTCCCAGTACAGGGGGAAAAGAAAAGCACATCCAAGCCACAAGAAAGTAAGGGACCTCCCCAGAAGGAGCACATGAAGAGGAAATAGAAAACCATAGCTGTGGGAGGTGCTGGGTGGTTGAGGCTCTTGGCAAAAAAGAGGCTCGGGGAATTTTTTTTTCAGTACCAGTACTGGGGATGGAACCCAGGAGCAGTTTACTTATGAGCCACATCCTCAATCCTTTTTATTTTGAGATGGATGTCACTAAATTGCCAAAGCTGGCCTCAAACTTGGATCCTTCTGCCTCAGCCTCCAGAGGCTACTGAGTTCCACTTCCCTGGGGAATTAAAAACTGAGATCCTGTTGGAAAGTTTAGACCTTTAAAGGATGACATCTGACTCCCAGCCCAGGGAGCACAAAAGAGCTTGTCTGTCTCACCCTGAGATCTGACAACAATAAAAAGTGTCCCCTGATATATTATAACCAACAGTTTGTCCTCACTTAGATTTGAGGTTTAAATTTACACCATCTTCATGGTTTGGGAAACCCAAATACATTTAATAAATATTGTGGTCCAGGATTGGTAATACCCCTGAATTATCTGAGGCAAAAATCAAACACAAAACTTCTCTAGAAAGACTAATCCTTGTTAGTCAGCTTTCTGTAAATATAACAAAATGACTGAGACAACTTCTAAAGAGAAAAGGTATATTTTGGCTCATAATTTTATTTATTTATCGAGATGGAGTCTCACTATGTTGTCTTAAACTCATGGGCTCGAGTGATCCTCCTACCTCATCCTCCCAAGTAGCTGGGACTTCAAGCATAAGCCACCATACCTGGCAACAGTTCGGGAGGGTTCAGTCCATGACAGGTTGGTTCCTTTGCTTTGGACCTGTGGTGAGGCAGCATCTCGCGATAGGAGTACATGGTGGAAGAAAAACCGGAGAGCAGAGAGAGACTGGATGGGCCAGGGTCCCAAAATCTCCCTCAGGGGCCTGGCTCCAATGCCTCCCCCTAGGCCCTACCTTTTAGACAAGATTGGGTGCATTCAGGGTAGAATGGTCATAGACAAGGCCCTACCTTTTAAAGGTTTCACCTTCCAATAGTACTACCCTGAGGACCAAGCCATTAATACATGGGGCCTTTGGGAGACATTGAAGATCCAAAGTATAGTATCCTCAAACCTGGTCATGTCAATTCCTACTGATAAAACTCTGATGAAGCTCAGATCACACCTCAAATTACAAAATGTAAGAAAAAAATCTGTGGTAAATGAGACAAAGCAGACACAACATCCAACAGGATTCACCTTGGCCTAGAACCCCAGACATTAGAGTTATTGGGTAAAGGACTGTACAGTAACTATGATTTAAATGCTTAAAGATGTAAAAGAGTGAACCAACATGAGAAAGATGGTGTTAAATATGGTGTTAAAAATGAGAGAGGTTTAAAAGAAAGAGAAAGGAGAAAAGGTAAAACAAATGCACCTATTAATCCATCCACTTATTCATCCTCCTTCAATTGAGGTTTCTGTTATGTCTTGGAACCCCATGCTCTGGGTCTGGGAATGGGAAGATGATTCTGGGGATAGGAAGTTGGACTCGGCCTCAGGAAGATCGTGTGTACCTGTCCACGTGTTCTTCTGTCCACCAGCCACAACTCTGCTCACTCAGCTATCCATTCTCCCTCCATCCACCCATCCATTGGCTCAGCCACCTTTCATTTTATAGCATCCTCCAGTGTCACAGCTAAAAAAAATTGCAATAGAACATCTTGTTTTATTGCCTGTCTCTTGTTGTACAGAGAAAGAACACGAGGCCCTAAATAAAAACAATAACAACAACAAAAACACTTTTCTTAACTCTCTAAAGTGATGGGAAATAAAGTCAAACTGAAAGCCAGACACCTTACCCTGGTTTCCTGTCTAGCGCATGCTGTCTCTCCTGAGCACTGGCAGGGGAGCTCCTAAGTTCTGAACCCCAGTGTCTCTCTTTGTTTTTCCCTTAGTAGACTGTTTACTCCTCGTGAGCAGAGTCCCCACAAACCATCTTGTCAGCTGATGACCATGACCATGACAACTGATATAGTTACCCAGCTCATGAGTGACAAGATTTCCATCTTGTATCAGTTTTTCCTTTTCTTTCTCTTTCTTTCTTTCTTTTTTAAAAAATATTTTATTTTTTAGTTGTAGTTGGACACAATACCTTTATTTCACTTATTTGTTTTTTTATGTGGTGCTGAGGATAGAACCCAGGGTCTCGCATGCGTGAAGCAAGTGCTCTACTGCTGAGCCACAACCCCAGCCCCTCCCTTCCTTCCTTCCTTCCTTCCTTCCTTCCTTCCTTTTCTTTTTCTTTTTCTCTTTCTTTCTTTTCTTTTCTATCTTTTAACCCAGGGACACTTAACCATTGGGCTACATCCTCAACCCTTTTTATTTTATTTTTTAAATTTTGAGACAGCGTATCATAAGTTGCTGAGGCTGGCTTTGAACTTGTGATCCTCCTGCCTCAGCCTCCTGAGTTGCTGGGATTACAGGTGTGTGCCACCACTCCTGGCCCTTGTGTCAGTTTTGACCTGATTTCTACCTTGCATCAGTTTCAAGTCTGTGTCCCATCTCACCCCTACCTTCATCCCCCAACCTGATACTATGAGTTCCTTGAGGGAAGGGGCAGGTCTCATTCCTACAACACCTGGCTCAGAAGAAGGTGTTCAAGATGCAGGTGGATGAGGACACCTGGGGACAGAGGCTGTGGCACAGGGTTCTTGGTCCCTCTGCCTGGGGGCTGCTTGTTGCTGGACTGCTCCTTCAACTTCTAGCATGCGAGGGACTAGAGGGGAGTCTCCAAGTGCTCCTCAGCAGCCTGAGCAGGAAGTACAGAGTGGTTCCCTGGGCATGGCTGCACTTGAGAGGCTCCTAGCCACAATACAGTTTTCCCTGCATGGCTGTGCCAGCCTGTGATCTCAGTTACTTGGGAGGCTGAGGCAGGAGGATCACAGTTTGAGGCCAGCCACAGCAACTTGGCAATACTTTGTCTCAAAATTAAAAATAAAAAAGAATGGGGATGTAGTTCAGTGCCCAGCACATTCCCAGTACCACCATAAATAAATAAATAACAACATAGGATCACTGTCAACTCCATCCACCTCAGCATTCCAGGAGAAGTTCTGTTTGGTGCTAGAATCTGACACTTTTACCACTTGCTGATCCATTAGATACTTTTCTTTTAACAAAGAGCAGAGTTTGGGGTCAATGCCTCTAACAGGAAACAATGTCTACTTGGAACTTAATAACTTCATTTACATTGTATTTCATATTTGACCTTCTATTTATGGCAAGTGATACTGGTTTTCCATTTATAGAAGTGATACAAAAAGAGATTCCTTTAAAAGTAAATTTATTAAGAGCCAACTTAAAGAAAAATGTAAAGCCAATGACAGTGCAGGTTGATAAGCTAATGTAGCAAAAATCCTAATAATCCTTACAGAAATTTGAGAAATTGAAAAACCAGGGAATAGAAACTCGCCACCCATAGCTCCTCTCCTAGTAGGGAGGTCAGTTAGTAGACCCACAGGCATTTGGGGTACCATTTCTATGGGGTCAGTCATAGGTAAGTCTGTCTCTCTGGACTATGCAGAAAGCTGAGAGGGACGATGGCCAGAGATTGCATTTTGGAAAGTCTCCTTTCCAAGTTTGACCAGATTGGGTTCTTCTTGGCCCAGGTTTTCCTCACCCTGGAGTAAGATCAGAGAGCTGAGATGTGTCAGCCATAGGCAGATGGGCAGAGAAGCCTGTTCTTTGACTTTAAGTCCCAACTCCAGGCAAGAGAAGGGCCCTTCAGCTTGGGTCAGCAAGTTCCTTTGCCATTTGAGAGTCAAAGTCATAGTTCATATGTAATAAAAGGCTCCTTTGCTTGATCTCGTCTTCTGCATTTTCCTGAGGACCTCACAGCAGTTAGGGATAGAATGGCTCGGGAGGGATAAGATTTGTGGCTCCAGGAGGCTGGATTCCTGTCATCTGTTGCCAACACAACTGTCTCTTGACATCTAACATCCGGGCCACAAGTCACCATCCATGGGACCCCTTTGCTTTCATAGGGCATCTTAGGCACACACTGTTATTAGGTGGAAGTGGCTGGGTTGACACTATTTCCTGTCTGTTACCTTGAGTTCTTACTCTGGAAATCAGTCTTGGAGCTTTCTGTCAGCAGCACTTCCGGTCCTCTGAACCACAGCTCAGAGTATTAAGCAGAGGCACCTATGGGTTCCCTGGAGCACAGACTCTGTCCACACTCAGGCTGCCCACGTCCAGGCTCAGGAGAATTGAAATACAGACAGAAGGCCTGAGAGAATATCTTCTCTGGGGCAGCCTCAGGACCAGCCCTGAGGCTGAAGCCTGGGATCTCATGGTCCCTTGGATATGGGGCCTTTTGTAGGGGTCTCTGGGAGGCCAGTCACACAGGCTCTGGGGATTCAGAACCCGACACTGGTCCGGCCTTCCCGCCTCCAGAATGCTGAAATCTGCTCCAGGGTGACCCGAGGCTGGAGTCCCCAGTCAGGCTCAGGGCTCCCTGGCCTCTGCCTCCAGGCCTTAGGGCTCCCCAACTGCATGCTGACCTCTGACCTCAGCTCAGGCTCAGCCCAACTCACCAGGCCCGTGGCATGGGGCCTCTCTTCCTGGGACTGGGGCCCCCAGAAGGTGCTTTGGGCTGGGACCTCAGGTGGGGTCTGGAGAACCAAGGAACTGGGAGCAGAGTGGGGGGCTAAAGGGGCAAGTGGGGCGCTTGCTTGGGCCTCCAAAGTGCCCCCAGGGGTGGGAGGGTCTGGGGCCCTGCCCGACAGCAGGGGGACTGCTGCTCCATACCAGTCCTCAGAGCGCTCTCTGGCAGTGCCTGTGGGCTCAATCCACAGCTCCCCTCCGGGGCGCCAGACCAGGGTGGGTGCGTGGTGGGTCCCAGGGTCTGCGCGGAGAGAGCGGCGGAACAGGCGTTCGGCCAACACGGCTGTAGTCAGGATGAAGAAGGCGGCGAGGGAGGCCAGGGCCAGCATGATGGGGATGCAGGGGCCACAGGGCAGCGGAGGCCACAAGGCTGTCTCGGATGTACTGGGTGCCTCCATGTGCTCAGATGGCTGCCCACGAGTTGCAGGCATCTGGAGACCCAGAGGTGAGAAGAGGGAGCAAGTAAGGCCACGTCAGCACAATCAAGAGGTGGACAGGGGCACAGTGTCCAGGAAACAACAATGGACAAGGCAAAGGGGACTCGGGATCCAGCTCGCAGACAGAGGGACAAAGGGAACCCAAAGGGGACAAGAACAAGCCGGGGGGCCAGAGGACAGGCAGACCTCCTCCTGCAGGCCCTCCAGTCCCCTTCTGGAAGCCCCATTTCCTCCCAGACAAAAGCTCAGGGCCACAAGGGCTTCTTTCCTAGGCCCCTCGGGTCCTCTGGCCTAGAGAGGAAGTAGTAGGAGAGGAAATGAGAGAACCTCCCTCCCTCCCGGCCCCCTCCCCTGCATGGGCACCCCCTCTCTGGCTGTCGCTGCTGCGGCCACCTCAGTGCTCCTTTACTGAGTCACCTCCCACCTTGAAGGTGGTCTCATCTCAGGGCTCCACCATATTTGCTGCTGTGCCAGGTCTCTGGTGACACCTCTGCACCTGTCCCAGCCTCTCCAGCTGCGCTCTCTGGGGCCTGTCCCTACCTCCCTTGTTTGTCTCTGCCTGCTTTTCTCTCGACCCCAGGTCCTCCCTCTGGGGGGGCCTCCTGCACCCCTCATCTCACCTCCTCGGGTCAGCCCTGGGCTCCTCTTCCTCTCTTCAGAGCCGCTCTGCCTTTCGCATGCCTCCGGTTGGTGCTCAGCGGTTGTTGAAAGGCCTGAAGGCACAGAGAGGGCTGGCCTCACATAAGGGCGGAAGGGAGGCCACCAACTCCTCCAGCCCCGGTGGAGTGTTGCCAAGGCAACCTGAGGGGATGTGGTCACTGCGGCAAGAAGGCGTTTCCTGGTAAGGTGGGGCGGGAGTGGGCAGTGGCTCTGTTGAACTCAGTGTCACCTCAGAGCCAGCCCCCAGCCCCCAGAACGTTCACACAGAGGCCAGGAAATAGGATGTGGAGATTCTGGCCATTCTACTCCCAGAGCACCATGGTGTATCCTCTGTTGGCCCCTGGGAGGCTGCCCCATCCCTGTCCTGCCCACTGGCCTCTACAAAACTGCTCCTGCCATCTGGCCCCCTACCCCCCTCATGCCTGTCTAGCCCATCTGCCTTCCCACTTTTAATTAACACAACTCTCCTTGTTTTCGGACCATTTAACCTCAATTTTGGTTGGAAAATATCTGTGAGGTGGGACTTGAGTAGTAACAGTGTCAGGACTCTGGGAAAGATTGAGAGCATAAAAATAGGCGTAGGCCTGTGTCTCGGGCCCCAGCCTTCTGCCATCTCTGCTCCTTTCTCCTGGTGCTAATGGTCAGAGCAGACTGCAGCACAGTGTGATGGAGTATAATGGGAGTGTGGAGTCCAGGAATCTTCCAGAGATTTCTGACTCACTCATCAACAGATGACAAAAGGCCTAAAAAAGGGAGGTGACATACCCAAAGTCACACAAGCCACATGCTTTTGTGTGGGTGTGTGGGGTGGGGGTGGTAGGGCTGGTGAGCTGGAGGGGGAGCACAGTTATAAATACCTGGTCTGACAAGCTCCTTGCACACAACACGGCTCATTAGGCACCCATATTTTGTTTTGCAAAGTCACAACCAATTAATATGAAAGGCTACAAGAACAAGTTGATGTGTTAGTGTCCTTGCAAAGAAAGTGCAAGGGCAGCCTGGTTCAAGACAGTTCTGTTGGTGGCTTTGAGGAAGGGGACAGGAAGAGAATAGGGTACTGTGGGGGTGGGGGGAGTGGTGGAAGTGGAGGATCCCAGGACTCTGAGCCTTAGGACACCTGCAGAAACCTGATGGGATTAGACTTTGATGAGATTACCAGCCTTAAAATAAAACTTAGACTTAACACCACTGACCTGTACACTTGACATAGTTAAGACAGTTAAGTTTTATGTTTATATTTTAATCTAAATAAGCAAATAAATAAAACATAAAAATTAAGTGTGCTCTCTTTTAATTAATCTTTCTAACAACAACAAAAACAAAAAAGACAAGGGCTAGGGAAGTAGCTCAGTGGCAGAGTGCATGAGGCCCTGGATTTGATCCTTAGGACAGCGGGGTTGGAGGGGGGTGGGGAGACAAGACTTTAGATAAGTAAACATTAAAAATCAGGATGATTAGACATGGCAGGATTTTTCTGCTACTATCAAACTGGCTATTCTTTTTTTTTTTCCTTGTTATAGGGATTGAACCCAGAGATGCTTTACCACTGAGCTACATCGCCAACCTATTTTATTTTTCATTTTGAGACAGGATCTTGCTAATTTGCTGAGGCTAGCCTTGAACTTGTGATCTTCCTGTCTCAGCCTTCTCGGGTCACTGGGATTACAGGCAGGCACCACTGTGCCTGGAAGCTGTTTTGATTCTTATTTTTTGTTGTTTAAAAAAAAAAAAAAAACAATTTAGCATACCTGTAAGCCCAGTGACTAGGGAGATGGAGGCAGGAGGATCATAAATTCAAGGTCAGCTCAGCAACTTGGCAAGACCCTTAGCAACTTACTAATACCCGTATCAATATAGAAAATATTTTTTAAAAAGGACTAGGGATGTAGCTCAGTGGTAAAGCACCTCTGGTTTCACCCCCAACTTTGCCTCCCCACAAACAAAGCTTAAGAAATTTTAACTGATTTCTCAAAAAATGAAAAACAGAATTATTTTATCCACCTCTATATATGTACCCCAAAGAACTGAGAGCAGAGATGTGAATAGTTATTTCTGGACTCATGCTCATAGCAGCATCATTCACAATAGCCTTAAAGGGGAAGCCACCCCAAATGTTCATTGGCTGTTGAATGGTCTATATATACAATGGAATATTATTCAGCTTTTAAAAGGAATTCTAACATATGCTACAACACAGATGAACCTGGAACATGTTATGCTAAGTAAAATAAACTGGTTACAAAAGGACATATACTGTAGAATTCCATTTTGCCTAGAATGGTCAAAAATCAGACAGAAATTAGGATGCTTGTGGGGAGTTAGTGTTTAATAGGTACAGACTTTCAGTATGAAAAGATGAAAGAGGGACTGTGGTTGTAGCACAGTGGGGGAGCACTTGCCTAGCACTTGTGAGGCACTGGGTTTTATCCTCAGCACCATATAAAAAATAAATGAATAAATAAAGTATTTTTTAAAAAGATGAAAAAGTTCTGGAGATGGATAATGGTGATAGTTGTACTGCACTGTCAATGTACTTAATTCCTCTAAACTGTACACTTAGGGTTAAAATGGGGCTGGGGGTTTGGCTCAGTGATAGAGGCTTGCCTAGCATGTGCAAGGCCATGGGTTTCATCCCCAGCACTGCAAAAAAATTTGAAAAAGTGGTAAGTTTTATGCTATATTTACTTTACCACAATATTTTAAACTTATATTTTATATGAAAAAAATATATATATTATAATTTATTTATTTAGGGATTGAACCCTGGGGGACTTTACCACCGAGCTACATCCCCAGCTCATTTATTTATTTATTTATTTATTTAGAGACAGGATCTTGCTAATTTTCTTAGGGCCTCATTAAATTGCTGAGGCTGGACTCAAAACTCGCAATCCTCCTGCCTTGGCCTATTGAGTCGCTGGGATTATAGTCTTATGCCACAGTGCCTATCTAAACTAATATTATAGAAAATTAAACTGTGAAGAAGGAAATTATTCCCCACAGTCTACTCTCTTGCAATAACCTTTTCTTTTTTATAGGTTTGTGCAGGATGGAGAATCAGAATCCAGGTGTCCTGGCCTCAGGCTCCTCCCACTCTACTATGCAAGAATTTCTGAAAAAAGGAATCAGGATGTTACTCAAGGAGTATGTGCAATAGAGAAGTCTCTGCATCAGAGGCCTAGAAAATAGGCACTTGGGGGTAACTCTGGACAAGTGGCTGCTCCTGGGGCCAGGTGTTCAGGAAGGAGCACAGAAAAATTTCTTAATTGACTGCGGAGCTGGTTTGTGATTTTCCATGTGCTTGCTATTTACTGACTTACTGAAGGTTTAAGTAGGAAGAGGCTCATTGTACCCCAAAACAGTGAAGCTCCTTAGAGTTCTGTGCTTGGTGCTCTTCACTCCCAGGTCTATGTGGAGGTTTTAAAATGTGGTTTTCAAAATTTTTCCCCCCGTCCCCCCCCCCCCCCGCCCCCAGTACCAGGGATTGAACCTAGAGGTGGTACCACTGAGCTCCATCTCCAGCCCTTTTTATTTTTTATTTTGAGACAAGTTCTCACCAAGTTGCCCTGGCTGGCCTCTAACTTGAGCTCCTCATGCCTTGGCATCTTGAATTACTGGAATCACTGATGTGCACCACAACAAATTCTTTAACACTCCTATCAACAAAGGCTGAAATTGGACATGGTGGTACACACCTATAGTCCCAGCTGCTCAGGAGGCTGAGGCGGCAGGAGGATCTTTTAAGACTAGGAGTTTGGGGCCAGATCCCATCTCAATTTAAAAAAAAAAAAAAAAAGTTGAGTTTTTAAGTTCTCTCTTCTTGAATATGGGCTGACCTTAGTGGCTGATTTCTTTTCTTTTCTTCTCTCTCTCTCTCTTTCAGATGAGGAAATTTTGATTTGCAGCTCATAGTCCATTGTTGGCTGACTTCATTGCTCTGGGCTGGAAGTGAGGCAGATCATGATGGAAGTTGTGAAGGAGGAAATCAGCTCAGGATATGGAAACAAGGAAGCAGGGAGCCTTCATGCTGATATTCAATGGACAGGATGCAGCAGAAGTGACACGGCATGACTTCTGAGACTAATTAAAATTTAAAAAAAAGGATAGAGCTGCAACCTGGTACTCCCACTCCACTCACCCTTGGAACTCAGCCACCATGTTGTGAGGAAGCCCAAGATATATATAGGTGCCTTGGCTAAAGTCCCAGATAAGGTCCCAATCAATAACCAACATCCACTACCAAACACGTAAATGGGCAAGTCTTCAGATGACTCTAGCCCCAGGATTTGAGCCACCTCAGCTGATATCAAGCAAAGCAGAGATGAGCTACCTGCCTGGAGCCCTGCCCAAAACACAGACTGAGGAAAAGAAATATTGCTATCTTAGGGAATTATGTTTTGGGGTGGTTTGTGACATAGAAATAGAAAACTGGCACACTTGACTTCAAGGGTTCTCACCAGGTGGGTTAAGGGCAGTAGTCCTGTATCACATGTGAGATCTTCTCAAGGGTTCACACTTAATTCCAATGTCCCCCCACCCTGTCTTGCTAGATTCTTACACCACTTTAGGGTATGAATTGGGTAGGCTGGGGAGAAATATAACAGCAACAACAGTGGAGTTGGAACAGAAATTTTGTAGAAGATTAAAAAATGCCCTCTCCATAATTGAGGTCCACTAGATCTGCTCAGTCTAATACAGTGGCCATCAGACATATGTGGTTCTTTTTATTTATTTATTTTTTAGTTTTCAGTGGACACAACATCTTTGTTTGTATGTGGTGCTGAGGATCGAACTCAGGCCACACGCATGCCAGGCGAGCGCGCTACCGCTTGAGCCACATCCCAGCCCCCATATGTGGTTCTTTAAATTAAAATTTATTAAAATAAAATAAAAATTGAGTTTCCTGGTCTCATCACACACACATATGTGGGTTTGTTGTTGTTGTTTTTTTTTTTTTTGGTACTGGGTATACTGAGTATTGAACCAAGGGCAGTTTACCACTTTATATCTCCAGTCCTTTTTATTTTTTATTCTGAGACAGGGTTTCACTTAGTTGCTGAATCTGGTCTCAGACTTGCTATCCTCCTGTCTCAGCCTCCTAAGTCACTGGAATTACAGTTGTGTATCATCATGCCCAGCTTCAATGTTTACATCTCAAATGTTTAACAGGTACATGCAGCTAGTGGCCACCATCTGAGACAGCATAGGTACAGAATGTTTCCATCATTACAGAAAGTTCTATCAGGCAGTGAGGTTGGGTAGAATCTCACTATCCTGTCAACTGTGGACGCACACACCTATAATCTCAGAGACTCAGGAGGCTAAGGTAGGAGGATTGTAAGTCTGATGCCAGTTTCAGCAACTTAATGAGGACCTCAGTAACTTAGCAGGATGCTGTCTCAAAATAAGAAGGAACTGGAGATGTTGTTCAGTGGTAAAGTGCCCTGGGTTCAATCTCCAATAAATAGCCACCCCCCACCAAAAAGAGACTCATCTAAAACATCATGCCTTTAGAAGTTTTCCATGACTTCTCTAAAGATGGAAAAGCTACAAAGTTCTCTCTGTGATGGGCAGAAAGGCTATGGCAGGGAAGCCTTCCAGGAATAAGTGATGTTTGACTATTCACCCAGGATCTCCTAAGGAATGACTCCACTCTGGGCTTGATTCCAAGAAAAATCATCAGGAACCACCAGGATGAATTGGCCAGGTTTTCCAAAAAAATGCAGCAATGCCAAGTTCACTAGCAGATACATCATACTGGAAGTGAAGCTTTTTTTTTAATATATATATTTTAGTTTTAAGTGGACACAATATCTTCATTTTACATTTATGTGGTGCTGAGGATTGAACTCAGTGCCTCAAGCATGCTAGGCAAGCACTCTACCACTGAACCACAACCCCAGCCCCTGGAAGTGAAGCTTGATACCTAATTTTCAGGAAGAGGAGCCAACATGGGTTGGAGCATGTGTGCAGATGAGTGTGCTCCCATCTCTGTGTGTGCACATGCTTATGCTTGTGTGTGCCTGGGGTATCAGAATCCCTGATGATGCCAACTGATTGGAGCTACAATTGGGGGTAACAGTGGTTATGCTCTGGAAAGAAGACTGGCTACTTTCAGATATAGATCCCTGCCTTAAGGACGCCCTACTTGCTGGGAAAAGCATACACTGTCAATCCTACATTGAGTTGAAAACATTTTACTTACAAATCAAATTATAAATCTAAGGTGGGTACAGGGGCACAGGCCTGTAATCCCAGCAACTCAGGAGGAGGCCTACAAGTTCAAGGTCAGCCTCAACAACTTAGCAAGGCCTTAAGCAACTTAGTGAGACTCTATCTCAAAAAATAAAAAGAGTTGGGGATGTAGCTCAGGGGTAAATCACCCCTGGGTTCAATCCCTGGTGCCCCCCCATGCTAGGCACTAGGATTCAACAGTGAACAGTGAACAGTCAGAGATGGTTCTGTGGAGTTTGGTTGGGGGAGACAAACAAGGAACCAAGCAATCATAATCTAGTATATTGAGCCCTAGAAACAACTACAGCCCAGGCCCCTACTGGTCTCAGCATATCTTAATTATTTGCCACTTTGGTGTATGTAGAATTTTTAGGAAAGCTTCCTTGACAAATCTATCTGACGTAAGCAGACAGAGGAAGGGAGGAAGCAGGCTCTTCCAACAGAGCAGCCTCTCTGGGGGGAACAGGTGTTTTGCAAACTTGGGGATCACAATTCTGGTCTCTGTCCTCTCTAATCAGAAGGTACAGATGATCACAGGTCCAGTGATGTAGTCTTCAGAGGAACAGAGATTTGGGGGGTTGGGACCCCTTGAGGTTTGGCTTGCATTCAGCCTGTAGGGCTGGCTGACTGACCCTAGTAACCTCCCTTGCTTTGGCTTGGATCCTGCCTTCCCAGTCTGGCCACCCCACACCTTCATAGTCCTCTGCAGATAGATGTAAGCTGAAAACTGAAGCTCATGAACCCTATCAGGAGACAATAGGACCCGAGACCTGCCCCCCAAGAAAGAAGCAATCAATTGAGCTGAGTATGTGTAGGCACACCCTACTCACATGGCCACACTCTGTGCCATTGTCCCACTTGGAGAGTCACTGAGGGCTGCTGCAGATTGAAACTTTCAGTGGCCAGCATCTAGCCCACCCTTCTGCTGCAGAACTGTCCATGAGGTGTTCCCAGGAGCAAGAAGGCCCAAGGGACTACTGCATCCTTCCCAGACTCCTATGCACAAAGGGCCTGACCATACTCAGGCTCTTAGCCTGATTTTGGTGGAGACAGATGCTCTCAAGAAAAACCCTTTACAACTCTGTTAGTCAGCTTTTCATCGCTGTGACCAAAACATCTGGTAAGAACAATTTACAGGAGGAAAGATTTATTTTGGTTCGTGGTTTCGAGGATTCAGTCCATGGTTGTCTGACTCCGCGGCAGAGAGGCATTATGGCAGAAGGGCAGAAGAAAGCTGCTCGGCTCATGGCAGCCAGGAAGTGGGTAAGAAGAGGCTGGGGTGCATCCTCAGTTACCTACTTCTTCCAATGTGTCCCCCGCCCCCTAGTAGTCCATTCAGATATCAATGGATTAATCTGACAATGAAGTCAGAGCCCTCATAATCTGATCATTACCTAAATGCCTCACCTCTGAATCTTGCTGCACAGGGGACGATGCTTTCACCACAGAAGCTTTTGGAGGACATTTCAGATCCAAACCATATCAACAACCTACCTGGTCATCACTGCCCCCATTTCTCAGGAAGTTTTACTCTCTCCATAGACAATAGTCACCTGAGATCCAACTGGGAAACCTATGTAACCTGGCTCTCAAGGACTCGTTCATCTGAATTCTGTTCGTTCCGATGCCAAGCAGATATCAAGTGGATCCTGAAGACATACATTATGCCACTGCTGGACCTTCTATATGCAGCAGGACTGGGGTGGTCGAATTTTTTGTTATTGATTCTCTTGGGCAATAACTCACCATAAAATTCACCCTTCAAAAGTGAATTTGGGCTTTTACAACTCGGGCTGGGGTTGTGACTCAGTGGTAGAGTGTTTGCCTAGCATGTGGGAGGCACTGGGTTTGATTCTCAGCACCAGGAAAGCACTCTACCACTGAGCCACAACCCCAGCCCAAACATAAGGTTTTTAAGGCTCATTTATACTGTAGTATATACTAGTGCTTCATTCCTTTTTCCCATTTTCATTTCTTTTTATAGCTGCGTAGTATTCTAGTGTATGGTACACTGCATTTTGTTTATCCATTAATCCTTTGGTTGACATGGGAGTTGTTTCTGCTTTTTGACCATCATACGTCATACTGTTATGAAAATTTATGTGCTAGTGTTTGTGTGGACATATGTTTTCAATTTGTCTCGGGCACATACCTAAGAGTAGAATTTGTGAGTCACATACATGGCAACTCTATTTTTAACTTTTGAGGAACTGTGGGTGGCCAAATTTACAATGGCTAAGTTTACCCACTTCTTCCTTTCTACTCAGAATGCACCCTTCTACAGCAATGATAGCTTCCACCCATCCTCCTCCACATATTTTAAGAAAACACCAGAAACCTGATGATTATTACTAGACATAATGTGGAGGCCACCAGTCTCATGTGAGATGAGAATTGACAGCAGGCATGGGGTGGGGGAGTGGAGAACAATCCTTCCGTGAGACTTTGTCTGGCTCTCTGCCTGTCACACTTATGCCACCTTCTTGGCTGAAACCAAAACACCTCTTTTTGTGCAATGTTACTGTGACTAGAGTCCTATCTTATCTTTCAAGCCACCTCTATCCATGCATAACCAACATCCGTCTCACACTCCTTACTGAGCTTTATGTGCTTGAGCCTTGCCAAATTCACTTGGTGACAAAAGCAAAAGTCAAGCACGGTAGGAGACAGATTCAAAGGGAGAGATTCATGATTTGTGGTTCAAATCACAATATGAACAAAACCCAAGGTCTCCAAACAGAATATTGTTGAAAAGTTGCTTTGTGGTGTCTACCTATAATCCATCCCAGCAGCTCAGAAGGCTGAGGCAAATGGATCTCAAGTTCAAAGCCAGCCTCAGCAACTTAGTGAGGCCCTAAACAACTTAGTGAGATCCTGTTTTGAAAGCTAAAAAGGGGACTGGGGGCTGGTTAAGCACCTCTGGGTTCAATCCCTAGTACGGGGTGGAGGGGGGTTGCTTTTCACTTCAGAAGTTTAGCTTCAGCAGACAAAGTAGCATGTGGCCAACCCTGAGCCTGCTTCCTTCCAGACAGAATTCAGTGGTGCTCCAGCCCTTATGTTCCAGGTAGGAAGAAGCCCTGAGAGCAGGCCCAAGTTAAATGCAAGCAAGCAGTAAGTAGACAGCCAGACTTCATACTTACGTACTGAGGCTTACAGGGAGTATGTGGTCTGTCGGGGTTAACCAACTATCCCATCTTGCCTAGCACGATTCTAGTGTTAGCACCAAACTCTCTATAATCTTGGGCAAACTGAAAAAGTTGGTAAATGACATCCAAAGTCACACAACTAGCAAGTGCTGAAGTACACACTAAACCCAGATCTGACCATCTCCAAAGTCCTCCCTCTGCTGAATCAATCACTTATCAAGCTGTCAATCATATGAAACATTCAAATCTACAACAAGAGAGTCCAGGTGCTTCCTGTTGTTCTTCCCTTTGCTCTTTCCCTCTCTGCAGTTGAGACTAACTCAGCTAAGAGTCCCTCACTCAGAGTCATCTTGCTGCCAGCAAGGAATAGAGCTGAGCTCAGCAGAGTTTTGTCACC